GAATTTTCCTGTTCCACCTTAAATGGTGAATGAGTTGCCAGAATGTAACTGCTGTACCATTTAAGGTGGAACAGGAAAATTCAAACAAGAAGCTGACGAATGACAAGCTGACTTCAACCTCGTGACTTTTTAGTGTTTGACAGTTTTTTGTTGCATATCAGGAAACCAGATGTCATACTTAAAAATGCAAATAAGTTTGTTAATTTCCAAATTATCATTGTTTGTCTTTAATCTTTTTCTTGGCCGTTTCTTTAGCTGCTAGCTAGGCAAGATTGTTATCTGCGTAGTCTATGTGACCAGCAGGCTGTGCGCCAACTTTCAGGGTTAAAGGGTGAATTAGCAGTTGTACATTAACTCCAGCATTTAAGGCCATTTATTGTTCAAACTGAGTTAAAACGATCAGCAGAGCTTTATTTTACTGCAAAGAAGGATTATTTAATTTTTACCCAAAAGCCTAATTCTGCTGTGGAGCCGCAACAGGGCAGTAAAACAGCCACATGTTGCTGACCCCTGGCTTATACCAAACAAAAAAAAATTCTAGTGGTTCACATTCCTTTTTCCAACACAGACATTTAATGCTGGATCATTTAGTTCAATAAATGAATGAAAAGCTAAATAATTGTTTGCTGTATTTGTTTTATTGAGTTCTCTTTATCTATTATCAGTTAAATCAGTATTATCAGTTTGATCCGTTCGAAGGCAACAACATATTTTAGTCATTTTAATGAATTTGAACTTTAAACGATCGTGAACCCAGCATTATGAATAGAATTGAATGGTGGGCTGAGTGTATCGCTACACCTCTAGTTTTAAAGGTGCACAACATTCACTTTCCCTGAAGAATACAAATATAAAAATAAAATCGAAAGCCTGGATGATGGGGTGAATGGAGTTGTTTCTAATGAAAATAATAGGAACTATACTGTATAATTGGTACTAGCGCAGTGACAGTTTTTGTACCCTGAAAGGTACATGGTGTTTTTAGGCCTGTTCAAGTTGTTTTTCTTAAGAAGGAATTCAAATGAGTCTAATGGTTGCACATGAATGAAAAGTTGCAATAACACAATTGCTGCCATAAAGACTGTTTCTCTTGGCAAGAACTGTTGTAACGTTTTGTTCGTGTGCATCCCATTGACGTTATATCGCAGTAATCCAATCCAGTAAATCCAAAGCACTGTATTTTTTCAGTGTACATGAGTCATTAATTCATCAAAGTAAAAATACTTTGACTTTGAGCTTTACCTCCTCTGCTTACCTCCGCTGAACCTTCCAATCATGTGCCACACCTCACACCAACTGTACAGTCAGAAACACATGCTGCATGTTCTAAAGCAGAATTTCATTAAGGAAATTCCATCAGTTTTTCCAAATTTCTGATCTGTTCACTTGTTAAGATGTATTCAATGTCATTTGGAGTGGTTTGATGTGAAGTGATTCATTTGTAGAGAAACTTATCAGCTTAGATTTCTTTACAGTGGTGGTGATAGGAACCAGAGGTCACAATGTTCACAAATAAATAGCCACATATATTTGCTATGCAAAACTACCAATGAACCTACAGTGCCCTTTACAAATAGTGGCACCTTGATAAGCATGAGAAAAATGGACTGTAAAAACATTTTTAATAGCTAATTCTTTTGATCTTTCATTCATAATATTAACAATAACTTGACCTTTATTTTTAAAGTACAATAATTGAAAGAAAAAAAAAGTTTAATTCTTTTTCTCAAACCTGTGAGTGCCACAATTGTTGGAACTCCTTCATTTAATACTTTGTGCAGCCTCCGTTTGCAAAGATGACATTTCTGAATCTTCTGCTATACTATATGGACAAAAGTATTGAGACACCTACACATTACACCTACAGAAGTATTTATGACATTCCTTTCTAAATCCATAGGCATTAATATGGAGTTGGTCCCTCCTTTGCAGCTATAACAGCTTCCACTCTTCTGGGAAGCTTTCGACAAGATTTTGCAGTGTAACTGTGAGAAATTTTGCCCATTCATCCAGAAGAGCATTTGTGAGGTCAGACACTGATGTTGGGCGAGAGGGCCTGACTCACAGTCTGTGTTATAGTTCATCCCAAAGGTGTTTGATGGAAGCATACAGTTGTCCAAAATGTCTGGGTTGGCAAAAGCATTCAATTTTTCTCTACACTGGAACTAAAGGTTCTAGGCCAACCCCTGAAAAACAACCCCATAGCATTATCCCTCCTCCACCAAACTTTACAGTTGGCACAGTGCAGTCAGGCAGGTAATGTTTTCCTGGCATTCGCCACACTCAGATTCGTCCATCTGACTGCCAAATAGAGAAGCGTGACTCGTCACTTCACAGAATACGTTTCCTCTGCTCCAGAGTCCAATGGCGGCATGCTTTACACCACTTCATCTTGGCATTGTGCTTGGTGATGTAAAGCTTGCATGCAGCTGTTCAGCTGTGGAAACCCATGCCATGAAGCTCCTGGCGCACAGTTGTTGTGCTGATGTTGATGAGGAGGTTTAAACTCTGCAGTTACTGAGTCAGCAGAGCATTGATGACTTTTACGCACTCTGGCGTTCTGAACTTAGTGACCCTGCTCTGTAACTTTACGCGATCTGCCACTTCGTTCCTAAATGCTTCCACTTTTCAATAATGCCACTTTGTAAAGGCAGACTGCATGGCTAGGTGCTTGATTTTATATTTATTATGGTAAAAATTTAATATAAAAAAATTAAAAACCTGTGGAATTCTATTTCAAGTGTTGGCTAATTATTGCCAGGTAGGTCAAAGGTCAACCATTTGACTCCACTGTTCATTCCTTGCAAAGAAAACCAGGTTAGATGATGAGTGTGTACATGGTACATCTTTACTTCTGAGCTTTTATCTAATTTGACCATGTGTGTGTTAATGTAGTGTGCCGAGGGCATATTGTTCAGTAAAAATCCTGCCAGATGATACACTTAATTTCAGAGTAAATTTAAAGGTCTCTCTTAGCAACCATTTCATATACAAAACAAACCATCACGCATATGAGGGCACGCAGTATTTTCCCAAAAGAATAGCAGAGGGCAAGAAGGTTTATTAGAGAGCTGGCAGTCTGTGTGTTATGTTTCGCAACTTGTTGTCTCAGGGCTGTTCCACACAGGAACTCTAGAGGTGTTCACAGAGTGTGTGTGTGGAGCTGAACTTTATCCCGATTAGCTTTCACTGTGCGTTGTTTATTGATCATTCTACCAAATTGGTTCAAAGCCAGAGCTGAAAACGTATAGTTATAGTTTGACTTATAGGTAAATCCTTTAGCTTTAAACGACCCTTTACCTTAATTATGTTTATTTTATTAGAACTGATGACTGAACATTCCACGTTTGTCGCTACTAGAACTCTCAAAAAAATTCATTAAAACACAAAACAGTTCACCTTGTTGCAGAAAAATGTGTTTCGGTAGTGACAATTCTTAATTTTACCTAGTGAGACTTTTAGACACATTTACTTTAAAATAATGAGATGCACACCATGTAGCCATGACAGCCTCACTTCCTGCTCTAAAATGTGGGGATGTGGCTAAAATAAGGTTCTGCTTGTGGACTAAAACTGTGTTTAACATGAAAATATGAAACAGCATTTTTTGTTTTAAAATTATAAAAGTTTTTTTAATTTAAAAATTAAACATGATAAATAATTTAACAAATCTTTCAACTTGAGAACTCAACTAACTATAATAACTTTAAGTATTCAAGAAAAAATGTAAGTATTATTTTTTAGAAGTTTAAATGTAGGGGTTTGGCTTTGCGAAAATTTAAAAAAATGATATATATTTAGCTTCTCAATTAGTATCTCAGTTAATGTTGGGTTTAAATGAATCAGAACATAATCCTACTGTAGGACCACAGTTTAAACTAATTCAGTAAAATGGTCCATATATGCTTGAAAACTACTATTTTACCTCAATCGAGAGCGCGATTAAAATATAGTACAGTACTTTGCAGAAACCACCACTCGTTTATTTAATTTTCAGTTTCCAGTCTTTTATCGTTTGCTTTTCTTTGCTGAGAAAACAAGATAAGACTATGAGTACAGTACTTTGAGAATCTTACTACGTGCTCTCGGGTGTGTGTGTGTGTGCCTGGAGGCAAGTTCCCATGTATGCGTGAGTGTGAGTCTCTTTAGTAGTATGTGCGAGTGTGTATTAGCATGCGATGGTATGTAGACCTGTGTGTGTGTTCCTGCAGTAGTAAGTGATCTGTGTGTGTGTGTGTGGGTGTGTGTGTGGTGTGTGTGTGTGTGTGTGTGTGTGTGTGAGTGTGTGTGTGTTTGTTTCTGCAGTAGCAACTGGTCTTTGTATGTGTTTGTGTGTGTGTTCCTACAGCAGTAACTTGTCTGTGTGTATTTGTGTGTGTGTGTGTGTGTGTGTGTGTGTGTGTGTTTGTGTCCCTGCACTAGTAACTGGTGTGTGTGTGTGTGTGTGTCTGCATTAGTAACTGGTGTGTGTGTGTGTGTGTGTGTGTGTGTGTGTCTGCATTAGTAACTGGTGTGTGTGTGTGTGTATGTGTGTGTGTCTACAGTAGTAACTGGTGTGTTTGTGTGTATGTGGCCCTGCAGTAGTAACTTGTGTGTGTGTTCCTGCAATAGTAATTGGTGTGTGTGTGTGTGTGTCTGCAATAGTAACTTGTGTGTTTGTGTGTGTGACCCTGCAGTAGTAACTTGTCTGTGTGTGTGTGTGTGTGTGTATGTCTGTGTGTGACCCTGTTATAGTAACTAGTGTGTGTGTGTGTGTGTGTGTGTGATCCTGCAGTAGTTACTTGTCTGTGTGTTTTTGTGTATGTGTGTGTGTTCTTGCAGTAGTTACTTGTCTGTGTGTATTTGTGTATGTGTGTGTGTGTTCCTGCAGTAGCAACTTGTCTGTGTGTATTTGTGTTTGTGTGTGTGTTCCTGCAGTAGCAACTTGTCTGTGTGTATTTGTGTTTGTGTGTGTGTTCCTGCAGTAGTAACTTGTCTGGGTGTGTGTGTGTGTGTTTCAGGTGAGGAGATAGGAATGCTGGAGGATATGGAGGTGGGCATTTCTGACCTACAGAGAGTTACCTTCAGAATCACAGAAGCAGCCTCTGATGACCCCACCAATCTGCAGCCCACTGTCAGCGGGAGACGGTGAGACACGTACACACACATACACACTTACACACAAGTATAGTGTCTGAGAGCGCATGAAGGTGTACGTTTAATAGTGTGATAGGTCTGATAGTGTGTAAAAACAGTCAAGTGTGAAATGTGGCCTCTTATGCACACACAGGTTTGTCTTTATGTGTATTAAACATAACCATGTGAGGATTTGATTCTAGCTAATGATTGCTGCCCTGTGCCTATGCAAGCTCCATACAGACATCCCCTGTATTTTGTTAACACCTAGACGTTGTGCCTGTTGATGGCTGTAATAAAAACATGCAATTTTAAATTTCTCACTCCTAACTCCACGAGATAATATGACTAAAATTATCTTTAGTCATTGTTTTTGAGGAGTTTGTCCTGTCTGTTCACTTAAAGGAAGAAAAAACACAACAAATGACGGGTATTCAGAGACAATGCAAGATGTCACACAATTCATTCCATGAAATTCAGGCATGATTTAAAACCTTTTGAAATCTTTTGGGGGGTGTGTTGGGAAATGTGTGGAGAAGAAAATTCCAGCCACTGTGGATGATCTATGAATAGGAGCGAACAATTTGTGGGAAGCCGTTCCTTTAAGTGTTTTTAAAGATTTTAGGAGTGTTTGATAAAGCACTGAGGAACACTAAACTGTCAAAAAGAACTGCTCACAGGTTGTTATTTGTAATGATCATAGACATGCCAAAAAATAGACATACTTTACTAAAGTTTTTAAATATGATTTAAAGGAACTGCTTGTCACATGGACGGACATGAGGAGGCAGGATGCAAGTGCGGTTGTTTTATTGCAGTCCATATTGAAGTGTTCAGTTTTTAGGTATTCATAAGGATTATGTTTTGATCTATTTAAACCCAAAATCTTAACCCCTAAATCTCAACTTTAATGTTGTTTTTAAAAAACATATTTTTTTTAAAGTGAAAAATTTAGATGTATTTTTTTTATTTGTAAATTAAATATATATATATATATATATATATATATATATTTTCACAGAGTTTTAGTCCATAGGTGGAGCCATTTTAGCTACACCCCTGCATTTTAGAGCAGGAAGTGAGACTGCATCCCTGTCCCTCATGGCCACATGGAGGTTAGATCCCATAAAAATGTATAGTAAATGTGTCCCAAAATCTGAGAATCAGTTTGTAATGATGGAAAAGGTTGAAGAAAACATTGGCTGACTTTTTGACAGGGTGAACTTCTGAACTCACAGAAGAGATTGTACCAGATGACAGTTTGAGTCATAGCTGAGGTAAACTTTTGTACGCATATGGAGGGTTTTGTAAGATGGCCAAGTGAAGAGTTGCTCAAGAAGGCCCAGTAAGGAGAGAACAGTGTGGTAAGAGTCAGACCAGAGTGAGTTTTAAAAAAGAGAAATCATATGCGTTTGGTTTTAAGGGTTACCAAAAAAAGTGTAAGGTTTTCTGCAATTAAGTAAACTTTTGTGTTTTAATGAAAAATACATACTATATATTATTATATTTATGTGTGTACAACTGTTCAAAGCTGTGTTTGCTAGTCATGTACTGGCTAGCGTTTTTGAGTTATTACTAAAACAGTCACAACCAAAACATTTGATAGTTTTGGTTGTGTTATTATTATTGTGTAATTATGTAGTGACCAAATGTAATGTTCAGTCATTTATTTTAACTAAATAAACAGAATCAAGGTTTAAGATCACTCTTAGCAAAAGGATGAAAGGATTTAGTCTAAATTCCAAGTCAGTTAAAAGTCCAAAATGCTTTTCATCCCTGACTTTGAACCACTTTGCTAGAATGTGCCATACAAGGACTTCACAAGAAAACACAACCAATACTCAGAAAGAAAGGCAAAATAAACAACTCTTACAAGGGTCATAGAGCACACACAGCAAACACAAGGGGTAATTATACTGTGAAGGATGAATAAGAAGCAATAGGGTATAAACACTGGTGTGTGGTAACACACAGGATAAACACAAGTAAACAGCTACACAATGTGGCACAGTTATGGGTAACATGGGAAGAAAAGTGACTGAGGAAATTATGACATTGCATCCCAAACATTCTTCACTGCTTTCTGCAGACCGTTCATTTTTGTTGGATTTTTCTTTTTTTCCTTAGGTTTTAAATCAGGCCTGAATTTCACAGAATAAACTGTGTGACATGTTGCATTGGCTTGTTGGAATATCTGTCATTTGTCATAGTTTTCCTCTTTTAAGTGATCAGACAGGATAAACACCTTAAAAACAGTTGCTGATCATCATTGCACAACATATATATTAAAGTATTTGCTATACTGCACTGGCAAACAATTGTGCACATGCACATATGTGAGCAGTTGTTTGCCAGTGCAGTGTGGTGTAGCCAATACCTTATACACCGATCAGGGATAACATTATGACCACCTCCTTGTTTCTATGCTTGCGCTGGTCTGAGTGGATCAGACACAGCAGTGCTGCTGAAGTTTTTAAACACTGTGTCCACTCACTGTCCACTCTATTAGACACTTCTACCTTGTGAGTCCACCTTGTAGATGTAAAGTCAGAGACGATAGCTCATCTGCTGCTGCACAGTTTCAACTCATCCTCTAGTCCTTCATCAGTGGTCAAAGGACACTGCTCACAGGACGTTGTTGGCTGGATATTTTTGGTTGGTGGACTGTTCTCAGTCCAGCAGTGACACTGAGCTGTTTAAAAACCCCAGCAGCACTGCTGTGTCTGATCCACTCAGACCAGCGCAACACACACTAACACACCACCACCACATCAGTGTTACTGCATTGCTGAGAATGATCCACCACCCAAATAGTACCTGCTCTGCGAGGGTCCATGGGGGTCCTGACCACTGAAGAACAGGGTAAAAGGAGGCTAACAAAGTATGCAGAGAAACAGATGGACTACAGTCTGTAATTGTAGAACTACAAAGTGCACCTATATAGTAAGTGGAGCTGATAAAATGGACAATGAGGAGGTGGTCATAATGTTATGCCTGATCAGTGTATATAGCCAATACTTTTTCATATAGTCAAAAGTGGCGAGTATACTGTAAATAGAGGTTGGTAGTTCAGGCCTGAAGAGTAAAAATCCTCTTCAGGATTTTGTTCCAACTGCCTTGCTTCTCTAGTCAGCTGAAACCAGCGTCAGAGATGTCCAGGCAGTTGGAACGAAATCGTGGGGAAGATTTAAAATTCTGTTTGTCTAGAAAGAGCATGTATGTGCTCACAAAACACTAGAATTAAAATGAATGCAAATAATATTAATACAAAAAAAATCATGTATGTCAAGTGTCATTTAACAATTTTCGAACCTCTCCTCAAGAAACCTAGTATTATTTGTAGTTATTCCACAATAGCAATTCTTCAATAAGTTAGCCACACTGGTGATGGATTTCAGCAAAACTGAGTGATGGCTTGGGGCGTCGAGAAGGAATCTGGAACCAAATGTTGTTCTTCAAAATATTTCACAGGATAAAAACTACTTTTCTGAAAACAAGAAATTTCCACTTCATTTTATTGCATTTATTTTAGTTGTATTTATAGCAAAAATACATTTGCTGCTGAGATAAGTGGTTTTAAACAATTTGCTTAGGTGCCTAAGATTTTTGTACTGTGCTGTAAATCTACACAAATAGCAACATTAATACCAGGTACCCATTAGCATGATGTTCATGGTGTACATTCTCTTGAAATATAGTCCTAAATGTAGGGCATTAAGTAACGTTAAAGTAAAGTTTTTTTTTGGATTTTCTGATAATATTCATTCTTAGTTATGACCTACAGAGTTAGTTAAAATAGCTGTAGGCAGTCAGCATTAACTTAGAAGAATCTGAGGTTCTGAACAGCTGCTGCAAACCACCAGTCTGGCAACTGCAGGCTGAAATGGTGAAGTTGGATGAGGAAGTCTACAGTTCACAGCAAAAATGCATTTTAAGGCCAGGGTTTACTCTTTATGGCACAATATTAAATACTTCCTCTGTAAGCTGTGCTGTCTAGCCAGCAGTGATTCAACATTCCATATTTCAGTAACTGAAGTTTACAGGAATTCTGTGCTCAAATTGTGGGTTTAATCCACAACACTGAAGTCAGTAAGTTAACAGTAACAAAGAAGGGGTGTTTCTCAATAGCAAGGAGGTGAAGAACAGACTTGTGCTCTGGGGGGAGAACGCTCTTGACAAGTTACCTAAATGAAGTCACAAAAACACAAGGGCGGAGAACGCACGAACAGGAGTTTGAGGTGTGTTGTGTACAAAGCATTAATATACCATTTAGTAGCCTCTAAGTTTAGAATATTGCATATCAGATACAGTTTTTTTTTTTTTACTAGTATCATCAGTTCATCAGCTACAACCATGACAACAACAATGTTGCTTAAATGTTAATGAGCCAACAGCGAGTTAAACTGCAATTAAAAGTTTGGATTTGAAATAAATGAATAAAACTGCAGAGTGTGTGACAGCGAGTGAAAGTGGGAGAGATGCAGACAGAAAAGGTGCTGCAGCTGTCATTGCTGAGCTGAGGAGCTGATCCAGTGCGCATCTTTCTCCTCATCAGAGCCAGGATGAGGAGAAAGATGCAAGGCTACCTGCTGTAATGCCACTTATCTTTAACTGTGGCTCTTTGCTATGATAGGTACAAGCTTATGCGTTAACACAGCCATTGACTTCTTACCTTTTCACTTTAATTTTAAGGTGTTTATAATATTATTAAGGGGCTAAAAGACTGAAATAACAGAGAGTAAACACACAAGGAACAAGCCAAATGACATAAATCAATGCAATTACTGTGTAAAGAAAATAACTGAATAAATACATTAGCAGAAAACATTCATATATATAAAACCCTTCTTCAGCATTTCTCCAGTCAACCTCCAAGTGTCCATCCTCAATGTGTATGTCTCAGACACCAAAACACAACTACATCATTCATCGTCAGTTGGCCATTGCTAACTTGGCTAAGGCTAACACTGTAGGCTATTATTATTTTATCTAACCGGAGCCTTGTTCTTATGAATTTTCAGAACAGACTTTCATATTATGAACAAAAAATTATGTATTTCTCACCTCATTTTTTTTTAGCAGTACATTTTTTAGAAGAATTAAGAGCACTGTTTACTTAGCAGAATACTTATAAATGTACAGCTGTGGGTCAGCATCCCCTGCCAGATGATGGCGCCGCAGTGAGTGCTGGGTCTTTCCATTCGTTCTTGTCGGCAAGTCACTAAGCAATGCATACTCATTCTCAGGGTGGAGCAAGAACACATCCAGGAACTTTAACCGTTCTCTGTAAATGCATTCCTAAGTATTGTAATGCAGCTTGAGTGATGGAAGATGATGCCGAGCAGGAATATTGAGAAAAGTCCAAGGACTAGTGGCTAGAGCACCCTCAGGAATGCTTTACTAAAATAGCCTAGTGCCATGTTAATGTCTGAAAGGTCAAATATGGAGTGAATTTGGCCGAGGGCCATGTCAGAAAGAAAAGCTTGTCCATTAACGTGTTTCATATTTCTTCTAACCACCGTCTGTGAGCCTGTTTTTTTTTTCCGTTACCAAATTACCAAGGCGGTAATTGTTTCACTTGGATAAGATTCAGTCAATCAAAGTGGACTTAGTTGTATCTTTTAGATCTGATTTAGTCAGCTGGTCTATTAAAAAGGTATTAGTCACCCCATTAAGATGATAATCTCTAAGGATCAGCCTTTCTGAAGCACTATAATGAGACAGAAGTTCAGCGATGTCATCAATTGCAGAACAGTTTAGTGTTTTTTTGTGATTCTTGGTTTGGGAACCACTGGACTACGTTACCTTTGTTCAAAGCACTCTGAAACATCGGAACATTTGATTGATACCACGTGTTCAGTTTAGGAGTGCTCTATGTTTTCCTGTCTGTGCCAGGAAGGCACACATGCTGCTGACTGTGAATCCTGATTGTGCCAGGCTGTGTTGCAGTAGCTTCAGATGGGCATGAACTTACCTCTAATGTTGGGTGATTGAGTTGATGTATCTATGAAACACTGTCATTATTTTGGACATCTTACTTAAGGCTGCCAAACAACTGCCAGCATACTTGACTCAAATGACCCACTTTTAATGTGTGTGTGTGTGTGTGTGTGTGTGTGTGTGTGTGTGTGGCAGAGACCATTACACTGTAGAGGTGCCGCTCCCACTCCAAGCCTTCCAGACGTTGCCAGATGAACTGCGTCAGGGCAAGCTGCTGCAGGTCGTCCCTGTGCTGTTTAATGTGGGCATCAACGAACAGCAGACCATCGCAGAGAGGTACAGCACAATAATACATTCATACTAAAACACATTCATTAGAATAACACACATATATATACAATTGCACTATATGGTTAAAATTATTTAATGTTTTCTTACAATAACTGTTTATTTAACCCTATTATTGAGTAACTGCTATTAATTACGTTACTACTGTGAAACACCTGTGTAGGTTATGTCGTTAAGAGAGGGAGGAATTGAAGTGACCCGCCTATGAATTTTTAGAGTTGAAGTACCTCAAGTTAACTTTTCTCTGTGTAATTCAAGTGTAATTACATATTTAATTAAATATTTCTAACATGGTTACAAAGTGATTTCCATTTATATTCAATTTACATGCCGTATTATCAGCTTCTGGCTTTTTTCCATTGTTTTCAATGTCATGCTATGACAGAAACGAGGCTGGATGATTTTAATTTCCATAAAACTAGACTGTATACATAGCAATTTTTCGTCAGACTCAAATCACAGTAAAATATCTCCTTTTTAATTTATGAACAACCCATTTATGGATTTTTGTAATTGCTAGCCATAACTGTGACTGTCCAGTTTCCCAGCCTAGTCTTGGACAAAAATGGTGAATTTTCATTGGAAATAGTCTTGGATTAGGCTCAATCTAGGTCACCACTAAGGGTTAAGGGGTTTAACTACATTAAACAAAGCTGGTTAAATGTGTTAACTATGTCTTTTTCTCTTTATACCCCCATCCTCTTTCTGTCTTTTTCAGATTTGGTGATATTTCATTACAGGAGAGGATAAACCAGAGGAATTTCGACATTTTAGAGGCTTACTATAAGTCACTGAGTGCCAAGGTCCCTTTAGAATGTGAGGCTCTGTTTCAGTCATTGTATAACAAAGATTCGTGATGCACGTACGGTTCCTTTCGAAAACTTTTTGTCCTGTTCGTTTTTCACACCTGCATTCATAAACACGTTTGTTCTTGTCAGCATAGTCATAGATGACATCAGTTGGCAGTTGCTTTCACATCCATTTATTATTATTGAGTGTAGTGATGTTTTTGTGCCTTTTTGATCACCATCCTTCCAAATACCGTCTGTTTCAAATTTTTGGCAAGAGTCAATTCCAGACCCTATTTACAATAAAAAATTACTGACATTCAGGATTATGAAACCTGACGCATGTGTCACCGGCAGTTCCTGTAAATAGTTGGGCAGTAAATGAACACTCTCTTGTTTCAAATTGCATTGTAGCACATCTTGTCTTGTCTCTTCCCATTAATCTTCCTCCCTATCTTGCTTGTGAATGTGTGCTACCTTATCTTCAGCAGCTGCTTTGATAGGAGAAAGAAAACAGTCTTAAAGACTCAGTGAAGCGTGCCAGGCTAGATCTCAGGTGTCTTTCTCTTCCTACTCTTTTTGACAGTCTCTTTCTCTTTCTCTCTACGTCTCCCCCACCCCTCTCAGGCCTGCCCTGTTTTCAGACGCAGACTGATGTTAAAGAGTTACTTGAAACACTGGGCCAGAATGTAGTGACCAAGAAGAGGAAGAATGTGGAGATTCTCTGGCTTGCGGGAGCGGTAAGACATAGCACCTGTCCTCCAGCATACAGAAGAATCTAAGCGGTCAATGACAGGGAACAACAAACTAAAATATCACTCAGTTCTCACACAACAGACTGTGTAGAAAAAACATTACCAAGAAGCTTCTAGTTGGTTTATTTAGCCTTCACGGCTCACATTTCACTGTGTCACTGTAGACTCTGGTGAATAATCACATTTTCTTCTTCCATCTGTTGCACAGCTTATTCAAGATTAAGAAGAGCCCAATAAAAAAACTACAGAGACAGCAAAGCACACTAAGACTACCTAAAACAGACAGAAATCATAAAACACCAGAAATAAACTAAGTTGCACATGCTAAATCATCACAACTCGTCAAAGCCACAGAATAAAACTGGGTTTTAAGCCGTCTCTTAAATTGACCCCCTTAATTATTGAGTCAAGGGCCAAAAAGACAAAAGCGATATGCATATAAAAATACTCCAAAATGCTGTATACACTCAGAAAAAAGGTGCAAAACATCTCAGTACCTTTAGTCAGGGAACATAATTGTACCATAATCCATTGAAATCATATTTTCTAAGTTTTATTGACTCCACAGACCCCGTCTCGTCTCCAGGCTTTTTATTTTATTGTTCTGTTTGAAAACATCAGGTTATGAAAAGGTACAAATATGTACTTTTCACCTGGGAAAAATGTATTTAAGGTACACAGTTGGACCTTAAAACCACCGTTGTACCTTTGAGGGAACATTTACATTGTTTGTAGCTTGATGAATGAAAAATGTGCCTGCACAGAACCTTTTTACTAACAGTGTATCCATTTGTAACAAGAAGATGTTTGAATGGAATAACAGACTGACGTATAACAATACGTCAATATAATTTAATGACGTTAAATAATTTTAATATAGCATTGATGTTTCTGGTATGTGTAAAGTGCACTCAGAACAACATACATCATGACAAATAAGAACATTTATGAAAGAGGTGTTTGATGTGTCTTAGAACCAAATCATCTAAATAAAGAAGGTAGGTAGATTTCAAATATGTTACACTATATAATATTACTAAAAAAACATTAATTTCTTAAGTTATAGTATAAAATATATTTGATCTCTCGCTGGGTGAGGAAGTGGGGTTACCTTTTTTGCAGGGCAAATCAGACGGCCTCATTGGTCAACTTGGGCATGTGGGGCACAGTTTGGGCAGCTGAATCTAGAGTCTGATATCAAGACTGTACCAAGGATTTAGGAATCACCAATCACTGAGGGCTAGCTCAGAGACCCTCTGTGCTCTCACAAATGTCACAGTAAGTAAGGGAAGTGACATTAAGGTTAAGGCCCAGTCCCATTTCCTATTTTTCTCCCTACCCCTTCTTTTTGAGTGTCACAGGTAGTGGTTAAAATCTTCCTCTGTGAAATGGGACCCTCAAATAAAAAGAATATCACTTCATTAACAGGCTACTAGTGGTGCTCTGTAGGCGACGCTGCCAGTCTGCAGTGAAAGCAGAGGAGGGTAAAGTTCAGCAACCTCACTGCTGGGCTTTAGTTACATTTAGGGCATCATATGCCTTCAAAGAGGGGGGATGCGATGCTAATTTATTATTGTCCACCCCTAATTCTTTAGTGATGTGAAGCTGAAGTCAGCTATTCGCCAGCTTTTTGTTCAAAATTCTCCCAATTCTCCCTTAAAAGGTGCTGAGGATCTGATGCCTGAGGCGCCAGAATGTAATGGCTGCACCATTTAAAGTGGAACTGGAAATTGAGCTAGCTAGCTACCGAGACATCAGTATACAAACTAGCCATTATTATGCTTGTTATGAAGAAAAGGATCATAATACATTGAAATGACATTAAACTAAGACAATACAATGGTTGTCATAATTGGTTATCGTACTTTCTAACAGTGAAAATACACTTTGGTTGCTCGCGCAGCCATCTTGTCATTTTTCCTTTTTTCCTCAAAACACTCCGTTTGGAGTGAGCCTCTGAAAAACCTCCGTTTAGAGGGCCATGTAGCCCTAACACTTCACCCTACCCCTTTATCTCAACAACATTCAGGACACCCTACCCCTAGACATGAACTCTTAAAACAGAGGGCTAAGGCCAGTGAACTCTGAAGTGCTGAATCACTTTTTTCACTTCTGAATCAGACTGGTTCAAAATTTACTGCACCTGTCAATGAAGCAAAACAAAAACAAACAGAATGTGCTGATCCCCAACAGTATCTCTCATTCCATCAGTGTCATAAACCTGTGAATAAAAAAAGCTTACTCATTGTATTCTTGCACAAAGTTGTGTGTTTTTGTTTACCCAAAAGCGTCTGTTACTGTGTCACATCTAAAAAGAGGAAAGGGTGTGTGAGAAAACAGATGCTCCGAATGCTTTCAAAGAAAGAGATTTCTGGTATAAACAAGCCTTGTCTAGTTTGCCCGTGCTTTCAGGGAAGATTACCTAGGGTTGGCACAGAATTTGGACGCTTGCCAGCGGAATGTGCCAGCCTCGTGACTTATTGTGCTTTGTGCCTTCTTGTAATTCATGATCATGATGGGGCAAATGCTGGTGTGACAGCAGTGTAACACATGCCTGCAATTATTTAAATTGTTCAATAAACATTAAAAAAATGACTTTTTTTTTTTTAAATAAAATCCTGATTGCAAGCTTGAATTAGTGTTAGCTGAAGAAAAATGTCTCATCACTATAGAACTTGCTACAGGAGTAGCCTAGGAGTTTGCCTATGGTAAAAATGGCCAGTAGCTGCCAATGGGTTCAGACTTCCATTCCTCACTTCTATAACTTAATAGAGTTAAACTATAAAAGAAGAATATAAGAGAATCAGCCAGTTTATATTGTTTTAGTGTAACTGCTTAGGTCCCAGGTATTAATAGGTTTTAATAGCTTATTAAAGGTGGACGATATGTCAAAATGTAATATCACGATACTTTGAGAAGTTTTTATGATCTATGATATGTCACAATATTTTTCTGACATTTGTTAAGTTAGAACAGGAAAAGAAGTCGACATTTTAAAAATACTATCAAAAACTATAAATCTGATTTCTTGAATTCAACATTTCACACACTGTGCTGCACTAAAATCCAGTTAATCAGAACAAATGCTACTCTCTTTTTAATCAAACTTGTAGTTGGGATGTGGTTTGTAAGTACTGATGATACCCACGGTATGCTCAGAAAAGCATGTTGTGGCATATTGTGATGTAATTTATCACAGTAACGATAAATACTGTCATATTGCTCAGCTCAGTCTTTAGCACTATTTAGACTGGGTTAGGTTTACATGAGCAGGTGGGGTAGTGTAATTTTTACTGTGATTTTTGTCACATCTGAATGCGCCATGTCAGTCATTTTTAGGGAATTCCAGCACTTTTCACCTCCTACAAATCTAGCCATAGGAATAACCTCAGATAATGTTATCCTGTGCAATTCGACATGTTGGTAAAACATTGTCATTTTCTGTAAAAAAGGAGTTTCTTAAATATGGAGGAACTCAAAGAAGTGCTTACTGTGGCAAAAATCAAGCCAATATGTTCTGTCCTACTTTACATGTACAATGAAGAACATTTAAACATAATTTTACATAATTAAAGAAAATATCTGATATTATTTGGTTATTAGAAATCTCAGCATAAATGGCAGAGATTGGAGTGGCTACTCTATTTATGTGCTGTCTTTGCACCAGAAAAGACTAGAAAACATCTCAAAGCATGTAACTGAGCCATTCTTTTTACCTTAACCATCTATCCTGCTGTCTTAAGTGAATGCACATTATTAGCATTGTCATTAGTTTGGGAATTCCCAGCCAACAGTCACTGTCACTGCATAAAATCAAATACTTTTTCTATAATTTTTACATTCTAATATTCTGCTCTGTATAGTTGAGGTAGGAGAGTACATATCAGCTGTTTTTAGCCACAGAGAACACAAGTACACACTTTCTGAAGTGCCTGCGTACTTACCAATCTCTGTTTCCAAAGGATATGATAGCATTTTACATGTTGATGTGCACAGGATTAATATATGTCAAGTCCAAATTTATATGAATAGTACTTTATTTTATAACAGTTGCTTTCACAAAGCAGCTTTACAGGAAATACAGGTCCAGACCCCAGTAAGCAAGCCAAGGGCAACAGTGGCAAGGAAAAACTCCATAAGAGCAAGAGGAAGAACCCTTTAGAGGAACTAAGACTTAAAGGGGGATCACATTGTTTGTGGTTGACACTGGATAGCAAAACAGTGGTCAAGTCAAGTCAGGCATTATTGTTGTTTCAGCTGCATACGAGTACACAGTGAAACGAAACAACATTCCTCCAGGACCAACAAAGGAACACAAGTGTGTGACAATACAGTACAATAAATAATACAAAAGACTTACAATAGATACAAAATAGGACACAGGCAGTACATGGTACTAAGAGTATGTGGAGTGTGCAAAGGAGGATGTAACATACTATGACATGTTAGCAGCTTAGCAGATAGCCTTGCATATATGAGCATAGCAACCAAAGCAGCAATATACATTATGCACTATTTGGTTGATATAGTAATTCTACCAGCTAACATTGTTAAAGTGAAGTATAAAATGGGCAAAAATGCGAAGACAGATATTGTTGTGGAAACAAAATGTGCAAAAATGCAAGTATTCAGATTTGTAGTCATGTCAAATGAAGTGTTTCAGTGAAATGCAGTAATTATATTTTTACAGTATTCCATAATTTGGAACCGCAAGAAGTGAGGAGTGAGTTAGTCCCATATTGTTGTGTATATGTGTGTGTGGGACCGTGTGGTTGTTATGCATGTGTGTGTGTGGGTCCGTGGGAGTTGAGGAATCTGATGGCTTGTGGAAAGAATCTGTTGCACATTCTGGCTGTGAGGGCCTGAATGCTGCTAAACATTCCTCCAGATGGTAGAAGAGAGAACACTTTGTGTGAGGGGAGGGGTGTGTGGGGTCAGTCACAATGCTAGTGGCTTTTCGGATGCAGTGTGTGGTGTAAATGTCCGTGATGGAGGGCAAAGAGGCCCCGATGATCTTTTCAGCTGTCCTCACTATTTACTGGGGTCTTGCGGTCGGAGGCGGTGCAATTCCAAACGAGGCAGTAATGTAGCTGCTCAGGATGCTCTCTATAGTGCCTCTGTAGAGGGTGGCAAGGATGGTGGGTGGGAGATGAGCTTCCTCAGGAAATAGAGACACTGCTGGGTTTTTTTGGTTACGAAGCTGCTCTTCAGGGTCCAGCTGGGGTTCTCCACTAGGTGAGCAAGGAACTTGGTGCTCGCAACAGGGGATTTGTTGATGGTGAGCAGAGAGTGGTCACTCTGTACTCTCCTGAAGTCAACAACCATCTCCTTTGTTTTGTCCACATTCAGATGTAGGTTGCTGACTTTACACCAGTCTGTCAGTCGCCGCACTTCCTCTTTGGTATGCTAACTTATTGTTCTTGCTGAGGAGACCAACTGCAGTAGTGTCCTCAGCAAACCTTATGATGTGGTTGGAACTGTGAGCTGCTGCACAGTCATGAGTCAGCAAATAACACAGCAAAAGCAATAAAAATAGAGGATATTACATTTAATATACAATATTTAATATAGATTAAACAGAGACATCTAGATTAACGAATGATAATCGATGACTACTGTTAGAGGCTTCTCAGAGTAACAGTGAGAAATAGAGCTATGAAAAACAGTCATTGTTACCAGTGAAAACCAGTGACTGCTGACCTGGGAGTATTTCTCCACTGCATTTTATTGAAAGTAAAAGGCTCTGAAATCTGATTCAGTCCATGAATACAACTGATATGGCGCAGTGGAACTAAATTCACTGAGAGACAGGGGTTAAAATTACATTACCTCAGCTCCATCCGAGTAGTACTTCAGGACGCAGTAAGCCTGAGGGCAGGGCTTAACCAGCAATAGTTTAATATTACCAAATGGATGACGTGGGAAATAAAATATATGCTCTCTCTTTTGTCAGATATGCCGGCGACTGAATGGCATTCGTTTCACCAGCTGTAAAAGTGCCAAAGACAGGACGTCCATGTCAGTGACACTTGAGCAGTGTGCTCTGCTGAGGGATGAGCACCAGCTCCACAAGGACTACTTCGTCCGGGCCCTGGACTGCATGCGGAGGTACGAACTTCAAAAAAATCCCTTCCACACATTTCTCCGTCATCAAAATCCTACACTTTCACACGGTATTTACTCTAAATCTAGCCTGTTGTTGTAGGAAAGTTAATGTATGATGAACTGTCATCCTTCTTGAGGGGTATTTTAACCCTTAAAAGTGTAGAGTTATTCCTGTCTTTTTGCAATACTGTTTAAATGTAATTGCATCATTTGTGCAATTTTATATTCGCATTTAGTTTACATTCTCTAACAACCTTTTTTCTTTTGTTTTGATGCTTTGAAATGACAAATCATAGCACAAAGATGTCTTTCCTTTCCACAAAAGGAATTTGAGTCTTGATAAAACATTTCTGGTTGACTCGTGATTTTTTGAGGTGTTCCTTAGAAGATTTTTATGAGTAGTTTGGAATTAAAGGGGAATTGCGCAGTTGTTATCTGCATATTTTAATCGTTAAGGTGTGATTAAAGTCATTCAGAGCATTTTGATGAACTTTTGATGAACATTTGTGAAGTGTGCTTTTGTAGAGAAATTTAGGATTATTCGCAGTGGCCTAGATGTCCAGAGCATTTAGTGCCTTTAAAAGCTCCTTTACAGAAGGATATTATGAAGGTGAAGGGTAAAAGTATTGCTGCCTGATGTCTCAGACATTTTTTTACAGTAGTCTTGAGGAAAGATTTTATTCAAAAACATATTTAGTACATTCGTGGCAGAGAGGTACATGCAGGGCAAAATAGTACCCAAAGCAGGGTTTGGCAACCCCAATGTTAAGAAGAGCCATTTTATCCTTTCAGCAAAAACCAAACCACTTTGGGAGCCTCAAAATTTTCTGTCCATTTTACCATTTTGGCTGTAAATATGTCTCAGTATGTGCTAATGTGCTAGTATAGGCTAACAAATTTAATCTAAGCGAAAATGCAGACTTACTATGCTCTGCTTCAGCCGCTTTTCTCGCATCTCCAGCAGGAAACCTTTCCAAAAGTAGAATAGTTTTTGTAAAATGTCTCTGAATGTTTGATTTTTTACAAGGCGGAAGTCAGCTTCTTCTGCGGTTGCATAAGGTGTAACAGGAAAATTCGAACAAGTGTTTGACAGTTTCTCGTTGCAGATTAAACATATCAGGAAACCAGTTGGATTGATTATAAATCGTCCAATCGTCTCCAAATTATCAATGTTCTTCTCGCTAGGCAAGATTGTTATCTGTGTTGCTATGGTGACCAGCAGTCTGTGCGCCAGTCTTTCAAGGTCATCAAGGTTAAAGGTTGAATTAGCGGTTATACATTAACACCATCTTTTAGGACCAATTAGTGTTAAAACTGTTAGAACGATCAGCAGAGCTTTATTTTACTGCAAAAGAAGGATTATTTTATTTTTACCTAAAAATCTAATTTTGTGTTGATCTGCAACAGGACAGTAAAAGCACCACCGAACCCTGACCCAAAAAAAGTCTTTTTTTTATTTTGCACTGTTATCAGTTATCATTACAGGATCATTACAGGAAAACTTAGAAGACTTGTTGTTAACTGGTTGTTTTGGATAGTAAATAAAATGACTATATTTAAGTTCTGACCTCTGATTCTTATCATATGTTTCTCTACGGTGCACCATTTCTCATCAAATGACCCTGAATGACTTTGGTTATATCCCAGCGATCATGAATCAACCATTTTGAAATATCATTGGATTCCCCTTTAACACTAAGCGTCCGGCTTGTTGGAACAGTTGGACTTCTCTGCATTATTATTGCTGAATGGAATGAAAGCATGAGAATATGCCCAGAAAGACAGGAAGCAAGTTACACAATATCAAACGGTCATTAAAACCACAAAACACTACCCTGCAACTATTTATACCAGCATATCTGCTGCTCTTATATTCGCCATTGTCCAAATCAGCTCAAGACTGATAGCTTTGTAGTGATTCATTGAATGTTAGAGTGTGAAAAGTGATGCTTGCTCTAGCATCTAACCTTAATGACCTTTGGTAAGTCACGTTCTTCTTCACTGTGATTTATTCATAGTGCTTTGTGTGATCTGGCACACTTGTTAATTATTAAGCCTTTCATGAAGCATGTGTCACTGTGAGGAGTAACATAAAACTGGGTGGTGCTGTACATAGTTTAGACAAGGTAACACTGCAGCTGCAGAGCAACAGTGGCTGTGAATACCTTGAACACTGCAGGACAAAAGTCAGGGTCATCTCTGTCATTTCTTCTCATCACAGATGCGTTGAGGGAGGAACAAAATGTAGTTTCTCCAGGACAGAGTGCCACATTTAAAGGGAAAACCTGATATAAAGACTTGTATGTCTTGAAATAATCTACATGTCTGATACTATTAAAATATGATGTATAAATCAAATTGAAAACTTGTGTTTACAACACTGTCTCCAAAAAAATTGGGACGCTGTGCAAAACGTAAATAAAAACAGAATGCAATGATATGTAAATCATGTAAACCCTATATGTAATTGAAAATACTACAAAGATGCAAACATATCAAGTGTTGAAGCTGAGAATTTTTTGTGTTTTTTGAAAAATATATGCCCATTTTAAATTTGATGCCAGCAACACATTTCAAAAAAGTTTTGACGGGGGCATGTTTACCACTGTGTTTCATCACTTCATCACATCTTCTTTTAACAACACTGTAAGCGTTTGGGAACTGAGGAGACCAATTGCTGTAGTTTTGAAAGTGAAATGTTTTTCATTCTTCCTTGAAATAGGACCTCAGCTGCTCAACTGTTCGGGGTCTCCCTTGTCATATTTTTCGTTTAATAATGTGTTTCAAAATGTTTTCAGTGGGTGACAGGTCTGGACAGCAGGCAGGCCAGTTTAGCATGCAGACTCTTTTACTGCTGAATGTGCAGAATGTGGTTTGGCATTGTCTTGCTGAGATAAACAAGCCCCTCCCTGAAAAAGACGTCATCTGGATGGCAGCATATGTTGCCAAAACCTGTATATATCACTCAGCATTAATGGTGCAAGTCACTAATGCCATGTGCACTATTGCACCCCATACCATCATGGATGCTGGCTTTTGAATTGTGCACTGATAACAAGTCAGGTGCTCTTTAGGACACAGTGTCCATGATTTCCAAAAAGAATTTCAAATTTTGATTCGTCAGACCACAGGACACTTTTCCACTTTCCCTCAGTCCATTTTAAATGAGCTCAGACCCAGAGAAAGCAGTGGTGTTTCTGGATCCTGTTTATATTTGCTTTCTTCTTTGCATGGTGGAGTTTTAACTTCCATCTGTGGATGCAGCGACAAACTGTGTTCACAGACAGTTCTTTTCAGAAGTGTTTCTGAACCCAAGCAAGGGATCCCTTGCATACAGAGATTTCTCCGGATTCTCAGAATCTTTTAATGATATTGTGTACCATAGATGGTGAAATCCTTAAGGTTTTTGCTATTTTAAGTTGAGAAACGTTATTCTTGAATTGTTGCACTATTTGATTGAGCAGTCTTTCACAGTGAACCCCTCCTCATCTTTGCTTCTGAAAGACTCAGCCTCACTGGGATGCTTTTTTATACCCAGTCATGTTACTGACCTGTTGCCAATTAACCACCTGGTGTTTTTTTACACAACTTTACCAGCCTTTTGTCATTCTTGTCCCAATTTTTTGAAATGTGTTGCTGCTATCAAATTCAAAATTATATATATATTTTTTTTTTTCTAAAAAACAATAAGATTTTTCAGTTCTAACATTTGATATGTTGTCTTTGTACTATTTTCAATTAAATGTAGGGTTTAAATGATTTGCTCATCATTGCATTCTGTTTTTATGTACATTTTGCACAGCGTCCCAACTTTTTCGGAAATAGGATCGTATTATAAAAGCATGACAAACAGACAAAAGCCCTCTACTAGTAGGTCACCATTGTTGCTCTGTGATGTCAAATAGTTGCACTGAATTCAGTCCTGTTGAAAGTAAGACAATCAAAAAAGTGCAACGCAAAGTACGTAAGTATGTAAAGCAAAAAAAAATGTAATGCTCTAGCTAAAGTTGTAAAGGCTGAATGATATATTTGAGTTAAATCAGATATTTAGTTCATTTATCAATCTTTGGGCAAGAGGAAGAGCTTCAATTTTATGTAAAAAAAAATGGCAGCCTACTAGCATAGAGGAATTTTGTCTATTTTTACAAACGTAAAAGATTTAGCTTGGTTTATACATCATATTTGAAAAGCATTGGACATGTACACTACATTTAAGCTTACATGTCTCAATAGTCAGGGTTCCATTAACCACAGCAGACAATGGAACAGAAATAAATAGAAATCTGGACAAACTATACAAACACTTACAATAAATTCTTCTCTACAATAAACTATAACTTCAACTATACAACCTTCGATCAGTGGACAATACAGAAAATAGACTGGCTGTTGGTCCACAGCAGAAATAATCCTTATGTGTGTATTTTTATCAGTGCATTGATAATTTACAATGGTATTTTAGTAACACAGCCACAAAGACAATATACAGATTAAAGTGACTATGCACATAAAGTGAGTGAGGCTCATGTTTCATTGTAACGTGGCTGAGTGCACCAGAGAAAAGGCTGTGGTTGCAGTTCAGTGAGAATGTTTCAAGGACCGTCAGGCTTATCTGTCCAACAATCTGACTGCCTGCATGAACAAAGTGAGTCTGGATGATTTGGCCCAGGTGCTCCATTCATTGCCTTTATCCAGGTGTAATACATGTAAATAGCCTGTATGATGGTTAAGAGGCATAATTTCTTGAATCGCAAATGAAACAGTTGTATTTGCAAAGACATCGCGACCCCTGATTCTTGTGTTTCTTATCTTGTGAAACCATTTTACAGCAAACCACTCAGAAAGACATTGCTGTTCAGAAGGAGTGCCTTTAGTCATCTGTCTGACAGAACAGAACAACGCTTCTGTTTTCAATCAGTGTTTCAGTGCAAACCAGCTGCACCAGATGCGTAGGCAAGTAGAGGAAGACCGATATTAATAATGTTGGGCCATATTGACAAGCT